TTGAAGAAATTAATTGATTTCTAGCTTGTGCTGGAAGACAGAAATGGACTCAGATGTTTGAACAGTTGGAGGAAGTTTAGCTCATCATCTGGGCACCGGTACAAAGGAAAATCATCATGCTTGTCTGCCTTTTGATTTCTTAAATCTAATTAGTCAGAAGCTGTTGATAAACAGTCTGTAACAGCAGCTCTGATAGTAGTGCTAGCTGCAGTGTTTACATTAATGCGCTCATTCTAATGTTATTGCTAATCTGCTTATCATTTATCGCTTAGCTTAGACAGGGACTTGTATGATGGATGCTCCACATAAACAGGTTAATCTTTGATATGTTGATGTTTTCTGTAAGGAGTCTCAATTGTCAGTGTTTTGTAGTAGTCAGAGGTGATTTTCTGACATGGGGGAATTTCAGTTTCTCATCAACAATGGCAAGTAATTTTTTAACTTCGACAGCTGTAATTTTTAACTTTTTTGTAAATTTTTAAGAGAGATAATGAAGGAACGACTATTAGCTGAGAGCTGATATATGTGTATAATAATACAATACAGTAATACAATTCAAAATGTATCATAGACTTCAGTTCTTATGGTACACTCCACATACACACTCAGAGCCGTTCATTTGGGATGCAGAAATGAATCAGTTATTAGATGGACAGTTATTAGAATGAATCAGTTATTGTGACTGGATAAAGAAATGTTCATTTTTACAGTACCTAATATTTCTGATTAAAAAAGGGTACATCAGCCCTTGCTTTTGTCATGACGAATGAAAATGATGTGATGTTTTATAAATAGCAAGTGGAAAGAATCATAATGAACACTGTATAAATCAAACATTCAGGCACATCAAGATTCATGAAGAATATTTTATATATAACCACATTTTAACCACGACATGAGAAGTTCCCACTTTAATATTTAAAGACTGGTTTCAAGTAAAGCACTGAAGTGGTTTATTCATTGTCCAGTTTTGGGCTCTGGTTTTTCCTTAAATGGTTGTCTGCAGACAGGAAGTGCAAGTCAGAGAAGGAGAACAGCTCATATGCTAAAAGTACCCTGACTGCTGGGATTTCCCTTATTTGTCACCACATTGTATGCGTGTGCTACTACCCCTGAGCGCCAGCCGTCACTCACACCTCTGTTAGGAATGACTTTGGTGTGCAAGTGGTTTATCTGTAACCAGAATGAGTTGTGGCCCAAATGCTGGACCATCTGGACCATGTACCACCACCGAATGTCAATGATGAATTAATTGAAATCTGTCTGCCAGAACACAGCCAGGACAGAGCCCTGAAGAGACCATACTGTATCTCAGGCTTAATAGGGACCAAAACTTCCAGTCATACTGCTGCATTTCTCCTAGACCTGAAAAGGCTGACACAAGCGTTAGATATGATCAGCTGCATTTGGCCCAGGTTCTAAATCCTGTGAAAACCTTAAACAGCCTGTTAAACTGTACACTTGCTATTAACATAACTGACATTAATGTCCCTAAATTCAACCATATTTGGCTTGGAATCATCTGCTACCTGTGATGAATCATTCATTGTGTGTGTTCTCACGTCTTGACAAAACCAGGAAGTTGAAGTTTTCCCACTGCTTTGAGAGCAAAGGTAGCAAATCATTGAATAATCTATGAGCCAGGAAAACACACACACACACACACAAAACATTACAGAGACATAACAGATGACTAAGAGTTGAGAGAGACCTCCTCCCTATCAAAAGGAAACTTACACTGATCCACAATCTGGCAATACCCTACAACACACACACACTTCAAAACAATTTTCCCATTTTATACATAGCTCAGGCGAAGTTAGTTAGTAGCTAATTAGTAGTTGCTCAGTCCATTTACTGAGGGTGTGTAAAAAAGGCGATAAAAATCCAACCAGAGGTGATAAAATCCAACATCATATTAGATCACAATACTTGAAGACATTTTCACAGTATACAGTGGATCTCATTTACTAACAGAAATTTACTAGCCACTAAAATGGGGATAAGAAGACTGCAGGAAATGTAAAATTGAAACTTAAGAATAATGCAGACTAAAGGCAGTGAGAGATTTTTTTTAAAAAACTGTTCAAAATACAATATGAGCCTTAAATAAACCAAGTGTGTGTGTTCTGTTTATATGTGAGTATACAGTATAAGTGGTATAAGTGAATGAAAACCTTTTCATAAGATCTATTTGAATGCTGTTGGTATCAGAAGTGCGAACATGTGGTGAATATCTAATGTTTTCATATGTTAATATATTCTGTGCGCCTTGAAACCAGCTTTAGTGTGAAAATATTAAGTCATGGATTTCTTATTTTGCTAAGGCATAATTTCAATACACATTCTCATTATTCAGACTTAGTAAAAATTCTCTCTTTTTTCCAACTGATACAAACAGGCTTCTGCAAATTTTATACCTGTCCTTTAACTCACAGTCCATCAAATGATTTAGTAGGCTTAGTAAAACTGTAGCTAATGGATTTGGTCGCCCAGAATATCACAGAAAAGTGTATTATGATGCGATTTATCGTGATATTGATATTTAGTCGTATCATCCAGGCCTAATAAAATGATTAAACCCAGGTCTAAGAAGAAGTGGGGTAAAATGTTGATGAGATACAGTTCATTTAAGGTTTGATTGGATTCTTTCAACAATTCTGAAATATGTGAGGTCTCATATCAGGAATATTCAGGTACGGACTGGTTGTGGTTTGGTTGTGTTCAGAAGCGCGAACTCTGGGTTCTGTGTCACTTCTTGCCTCTATTTAAAAATAAATAAATAAAAATCCAGCCAGTCAGGACAAGTAGGCAGCAAACAAAATGAAGATGAGAAGCTGTTCAGCAAGTAATTGCTTTAGGGTGATATATATTGGTCTTTAAATGGGATAGAAAGAACGTTGGCTATTTTTACATTGCTGTCTTACTGGCATCTCTTCATTGTTTACTGTAAAAGGTTTTTGTTCTTTTGTTCTCCAATTTGTTTGTGGTCTACCTGACAAACAAAAATTAAAATTTTTGTAATTAAAAAAAAAAACTTGGTAGTCCTTTTTAATCACGTTGTCATGTTATCAAATGTCTATTAGTTTAATATATACTGTTGCTCTTCAAAATAGTGATATATTGTGATTGGATATATAAAACAATGCTTTAGTTTGTGGCCAGGCTCTGATTGTAATATACATAAAAATACATAATATACAGATAAAATACATAAACTGAATCAAGCATAAAGTTGTTCTTTTCCATAGTGTGTCCCTGCTTTGAAACATCTGGATTAGATGTATTTGACTGTATTACACTGTGTTATTGTGTGCCATTGCCCAGAGAACAACACATTCGAAGTTGTGTAAAGTTTATTAAGACTCGGCTGTATTAGTGTGTTATCTGAAGGCGTTGATTAGCTATGTTAAAGTGAAGTTTAAATTTGACTGGCACTGCTGGTTGGTAGTGATCAGGTCAGGCTCAGATTTGGATGAATCTCGTCTGGCTGTATGTGTGTCTGGTGCAGTGGATCAGGCCAGGTTCAGGCTCAGTGTTCTCAGACTGCAGTCAGGATCCATTCAGAATCTCTGGACTGATTAAATCTCTAGTTCAGAGAAGAGAAGGAGGTTTTCACTTTTGTTTTTACGAATCAAGGCCGTGGAATCTGAACTGGCTGACTTTTCCCAGCAGCTGCTGCTCCACTCTGATCCAAAGATTACACAACACTGAGAAACACATGGCCAGTACATTTCTCCTGAACTGCGTCGGGACAGAGGAACCACAACTTCCTCATTTTTTCCTTATAAACCACCTTCAAAATACTAATAATGTATGATCTCTCGCTGTCTTTCTCTCTCTCTCAGGCTCTGGATGGTAGTGTGTATGAACACGTGAAGGATTATTTGATGTCTTTTTGCCGGACAGAGTTGGAAGCATTCCAGGCAGTCCACAACACATTCCAATTCTTGCTGGACAAGTCCAGTCGAGTAAGTCCCTCTCTCTCTCTCTCACACTCACACACACACACACACACACACACACACACACACACACACACACACACACACACACACACACACACACACCACCTCTTATTTCAGTATCAGCACCCAATCTGTCTCTGTGTTTCACTATTCTGTGCTCCTTTCATTCCCAGAAATAGCTGTATGGTGCCAGTATCCCATTAACTGCTCCCCTATGAAGCAATTCCCCACACACACACACACACACACACACACGCACACATACCGTGTGCATAAATCCACAGGACGACTTCTCTGCACTCAGAAATATATCTGCAGCCTAACCTGCTGTCCCTGGGGCTCCTTATGTTACATACTGTAGCTCTTTGTGTGTGTGTGTGTGTGTGTGTGTGTGTGTGTGTGTGTGTTCACCAACTGCAAGTACTTTGGAAGTATCTATGTGTGGACCATAATGACTTTCAGCTATCTACTGCACTTGATTAAATACGAATCACAGTTTTGTTGACTTAGGTCTATGTTTTAAGGATCAATATGTATATTTGCCCTCTTACGCAGACTTGAGCTCACAGACACCTGCAGTTGGCTAGCGTCACTGTTATTGACAGGGGAGAGAGTGTATGCCATCCCTCCAACTCAGAGAGCACAAACAATTTTGCTCTTGACCCCTGGCCATGGATGGCTGTGGCATCATCAGGATTCAAACTCGCGATATCCTGACAACATCTGTTTACCATTCTCCCATTCACTATGTATGCTCTCTACATAGGGTGTAATGGCACTGTAGAGCCTACACAGTGCATTATATTCCCAGCAGAACACCATTTAGTATTCAATCACAGTACAATTGAAACACCTGTTGGAAACTGTTAACTGCTGACATGTAATATTGCTTTTAGGAAATGATTACATAATTTTGAATGTCACAATGTGACTATAAAGTTCAGCTGAGCAAACATTTTGAGAATCAGTAAACTTGGTACGTGACGTGGTAGGCGACTGAAATTCGTACGTTCAGTATTAAACATTTGAGATGCCCAGCTAGCTCAGTCGGTAGAGAATAAGACTCTTAATCTCGGGATCTTGGGTTTGAGCCCCATGCTGTGCACCAAACCCAGCCACCGGTGTGGCACAAGTTAATGCACCCTCAGTGCTGATCCCAAGTCTGGATAAAATGGGAGGGTTGCATCAGGAAAGGCATCCGGCATAAAACCTGCACCAAATCAAATGCGGATCATAAGCCAGATTTCCATAATGGAGACGGGTGAAGATTTTTTTTTTTGTTTTGGAATACATAAAAATTCTGTTAATTTGAATTGAATTTAAATAGTAAAACTTGCTCTGATAGCCCTAATGTGTACACACACTAACTAACTGTATATCTCTGATCCAGGTGGGGCAGGACTTCAATCAGCAGCTGTTCCTGCAAGAGAATCCCGTTTTCCACAAAGCACAGGACTTTCAGTTCCAGCCGTGTGACAGTGACACAGTGAGAGACACACACTCACACACATACACACACAATAACAGATAATGTACTGTATGGTGTACAGTATGTGATGTGTATATGGTGTACAGTAGATGAGCTTGTTTTCATTTTGCATTTGTAAAAGACCAGCTGGGTTTTCTTGTCTCCTGATTTTTCCCGAAACAATGCTTTGACAAATAATGTCTGGTCCAGTGGTCCCTTAGATGGACCAGGCATTGAGACAATGGATGGACAGTGTTGAGAAGTTGGGCATGACAACAGATGAGCTAGTCATTAATTGCATTTATGTGGAAAAGACGAAAAGGGTCAGAATAAAGGTGGATGTGACATTCATTCATTCATTCATTCATTCATTCATCTGCAGTCAGGGTTGTGGTAGACCCAGAGCCTCAACCAGGAGCACTGGGTGTCACTGGAATGCCAGTCCATCACAGGGCACCATGCATACACACACTTCACACAACATGCCTAGGGGCAATTTAGTGTCACCTAGCAGCATGTTTTTGGGATATGGGAGGAAACCAGAAAACCCAGAGGAAACCCAGGCAGGTATGGTGAGAACATCCGAAACTCCACAAAGACAGTATAGGATTGAACCTGGACCCTGTGAGATAGTAACAAAGAGAGGAGACATGAGACATCAGTGTATGTAACAGTTGCCGGAAAATTAAGACCTGCTATTTTTGCTTTTTCTGAAAACAGACATATCATTGGACTGCATTTTATTTTGGTTTTATCTCTTTATCACCCATGAATATCACACCTATACACCTCAGCATCGTGCCACACCCAGAGCAGAAAAAACCCGTCTCACACACACACACACACACACACACACACACACACACACACACACACATGCAAATACACTCCGTCAGCAGTCTCATCCTCACTCTCTATATTTACCCTATGCAGCAGACACCTCCGGATGTGTTGGAAACACTCACGTGACTAAACAACGACAGCTCTGATTAAACCGTCCCTCTCTCTCTCTCTCTCTCTCTCTCTCTCTCTCTCAGCTTTAAATAAAGCTTGTTCATCCTCACACATTTTTTTTCTAAGAATATACTCATCCACATGGTATTAAAGTTGACGAGTTGTCATTTCTCACAGCTAAAACCAACTCCTTATATACATCCACTTTCCCTTTTTCTCTCTTTCTTACTTTGACCCTTCATTATTCTTCATCTTTCTTTTCTTGTGCCTCATAGCCTTTCTGTAATTTTATTTTTTTCTTTCTCACTCATTTCCCTCTTACAGGCATGCCACCTCTCTCTCTCTCTCTTATCCGTTCTCTCCTTTTTTCCACTCCATCTCCCTCTCTCACTATTTTTTCTCTCTCCTTTTCTTTCCTTTCTTTAACAGTTCCTCCCTCTCTCCTTCTGTCTATCTTTTATTCGTCTTCTCCTTCTCTCACTGTCCAGTATACAAAATTGAATACTAAATTCCTCTCTCACTTTTTCTCTCCGTATCTGTCTTAATCTATTTCTCACTTACATCCCTCATTCTGTTTCTCTCTCTTTTTGTTTATTTCTCACACAATCACTCTCACTCTTTTCTATCCATTTCTCACACTCCTGCTCTCAGTATCTTTCATTTTTCTTCTTACACTTTCTCTCATTCTCATTATTGTACCCTACTTTCTCTCTCTCTCTCTCTCTCTCTCTCTCTCTCTCTCTCTCTTTGTCTCTCTCTTATTCTGTTTCTCTCTTCAGTCTTTTATTCTACCGTTTTTCTGACTCTCTTATTCCTTGTTTCTCTCCCTGGGTCTCTTTGTCCTGTCTGTTGTCTTTGTCTCAGGGTAATTAAGTGTTCCTCTCTATAGTTCTTTCCATCTGTCTCTCAGCTCGTCCTTCAATCTCTCAATCAGCCTTTCATTTTCTCTTGCTCTCCTTCTCTCACCCCTACCACTCACACTGTCAGCTTATTAACTCTGACATTCAAATCTTTGCTGATCTTTAGCTCTTCTATTTTTTTTTTGCTTTACACTAAGGATTGTACAGCGTCTCCCAAAAGTCTCCATATAAGGGGGACTGTGTTTGCCAGCACCACGTCAGTTGTGCCTTCGTCAGTGGATGTTCGTGGACGTCCACTTCTCGGCTGGTCCGTAACACGTACAGTCTTTTTGACTTTGGTAATAAGTTTGGCAACAGTGTCGTGTATGATGTGCTCACCATGTTTCCTGTTAAATTCCATCGCAACCTTGCGACAGCTTCCCGATCCAGCCATGAGAATGATTTCAATACGTTCTTCTCAATACGTTCTTCAATACGTCACATATATATAGTTTACATATAAATATAATGTAAACTAAGTAGGAAAAATTTTAGCAGACATTTTGCTAAGAAGTGTTACTTTCCCCTGGGTATGGAGACTTTTGGGACACCCTGTATATTTGTTATAGTGCTGTTCTGCTCTTAAAATTAAACTGTACTAAATTTTACTATCTGATAACTTGATAACTTTTGACAATGACTTCCTGCCACTAACCTCTCTTTTCCTTCTCCTCCTAACTTTGTTTCCCTATGCTGCCTGTGTGTGTGTGTGTTTGTCTGTGTGTTTGTGTGCGCGTGTGCGGACTCCTGGCTCAGACTCTGAGCTCCGTGCAGCAGTTGGTGGACATTGAGCCATCGGCAGTCAGTGTGATGAGAATGACCTTGGCCCAGGTAGAGATGCACACAAGAAACGAGAAAATGCACTCGTTTCCATTGCATGTATTAGATAAAAAAATATGCAGTATGATAATGTCGGGACGTGATAGAGATAGCAGGTTTGCCAGGGACCTGTATTCTGTGTGTGCAGGACCGCGCTAAACCCCATCACTATTTCAAACAGAGTACAATATACATTTATGTCTACATACACACAGGCCCTGATTTACTGAAGGTTTGCTTGATAACACCCACAAAAATGTGCACGCTTATTGATCTACAGGCTCTACTGAGGAATGCATCTTTAAAGGAACAAAAGACACGTTTTGCATCTTTGCCTTAATGAATATGCAATTTGGGGTGGTTTTACTTAAAAGAGTAAAGGTGGGGTCTGTGCAAATAGATTCATTTAGCACTTGCAGTGTGATTTACAACAGCCTGAAAGTCCTGTGAGCGACAGTGATTAAATTATATTTGCATTTGAAGTCCAGTTCAGCCAAAAGAAAAATTATAAAACTGACTAGATTTTAATAATGAGAACTTTATCAACATTATGCCTTAGTATCTCAAAATGATCTCTTAAAATGATGACTTAATATTCCAGCAGCAAAGTTAGTTTCATTTTAGATATTCATCACACGTTCACAGCTCCGATGCCAGCAGCATTTAAATAGATCCTGTGACAAGGTTTTCATTCATGCGTATGTTATGAACCAAACATACATTTACATATTTTGAACAGGTTTTTGACACATTTTTGTCACAGTCTGTAATTGGCATTAAACTGGAAACGCAGTTAAGAATGTGTCGCTCGGTTTAGTTTCAGTTTGACGCCTCCAAGAGTCTTAGACATCTGAACAAATAAAGGACACGAAAACCTTGTTTACATACAGTATATTGTTTTCTACCCCTACTTTGCACGTGATGTAATTCACGCAATTGTTTTTTGTAAATCACCCTCCACATTTTTCTGCACATCCTCAAACACATTAAATATATTTATATTAAAATATTTGTGACATGTTTAGCGATTCTGGTGATAATTTGCTGGTCGGTGCTGTTTTTTTTTTTTTTTTTTGTCATTCCTGTGAGAAGTTAGTGGTTGTGTACCGCTCTGATGTCACAGGGGGACATTGTTACTGCTAGCACAGTTCCAATGGCGTTCAATGTCACATTATTGAGAAATTCAACATAGCAGTGTAGGAGACAGCAAACAATGGACTCAGATTTCCAGAATGCAGTGTAGTTAGCAATCTATGTGGTAACAACACAATGGCATCGATGGCCATGGAAGCTCTGGAAGCTGATCTGTTTGAACAGAGTGTACAGATGAGGAGGTGAGAGAGCTGGGTATACTAAACGATTAAAGTGCTGCTGCAGCACTCGCTTTAGATAGAGAGGAAGCGAAGTGTAAATCCCACTGCCCCATGTAGGAAACCATTAACCAAAGTGAAAGTAGAACAAAAGATCAACCTTCTCAAATATAATATCAATCTTGGATGCCACTGAAGATCACGTTATTAATAATAATTAATATACCTTGGCTCATTCAAAGTGCTAAGCAGGGAGAGATTTGTACTTGTTTGGCTTTATTCAGTCACATGCTGTTCATTTCATAGCAACAATACAGCATGTAACTTGTTTAGATTTAGATTATTAATTTATTTAAGTGAACAGTTTAAGATTAAGAGCAATTGATTACCGCCTCGGTAATTAGCCACTGTTTGTTTCAATGTCAGGCAGTTTATCCATTTAAGAATTTAAGGGTTTGAAAATGTATGGTTTTAGTTTTGTTATCAATCCCATTTCACTGAAAAGCAGAAATCATTCATTACAAAAGTACTGGTAGTTGGGTTTCACTATGTAGCATTTTACCCAGTTTTCTAACATTTCTAGTCAATTCCACCTGGTAGCTATGTGTACACAATCGCACGGTAGTCCCCCGATGAGCTTCCAACGACACTTACA